AAAAAAAAAAATGTGAACGTGTAAATTCTTATATAGCTATCTAAGTAGAGTTTAGAGTAGTAGAGTTTGCACACTACACCTGTGTGTGACTGTAAATGTCTCTGAGTTTTGTTACCGTTCTGTGCTCATCATCCGCTATTTCCACCACTTAATCAAGGCATTTAACTTAAACAAAGCGTCTTCTTTCAAACATGATGACCTTTTTTTTCACGTCATTGCGTTTGCGTTGGCTCTCGTGTTGAGCTCTTTTGTCCATAACCATAAAAGTATTAGATTTTTACAGTGACTCATTTGGCGCACATCATTCACTTTCTATGAAACCTGTAAACCGCATTCACCGGTTCTAACTCTATAGCGACACCAACTCTATAGCGGTTTGCCCAAACATTTAAGTTATTTAGCATTTACTAGAATTCAATCAAATGGCTTTCCCAACTAATTTTTTTGCGTCTGTCCTGTGCACGGCATATTATTTCTTCTGCGCGTAGAATTTGACAAGCAGTCTGCGGTTGGTACCAGCTGCTAGCAACTTCAATTCAGTATTCTAATGTGTTTCCAACTGAAACGAAATATTAAATAGAAGGCAGGGTTTTATTTTAGAGCACATCCTTTCCACAATCAATTGTAGCAAACTAACAGTTGGAGGGGAGTGGTCAAGGATACTCCCCTACGTTGTCAAACTGACGTCATAAGATGCACATCTCCAAAAATGTATAATATATAATTAAATGTAAGTTATAATAACTTAACTTACATTTAATTATATTAACAATTCAATGCGAGTAGTTTTTCATGGTCCCTTGTAATATAGTTTCTTTGTGGAAGGCTTTGATAGAAACTCCATAAGTGCTAAGAGCTTTGTTGTGCATTCTGTGCAAATTATTGATTTTTTTTTACTTTTCAAAGCTGTTAAACTACTTTCCTCTTTCATCTCCATCAGGCGTCGAAGAAAAGGTTTGATGAGGATGAGGAGTTTAAGAAGAGGGCCTACCAGTGTGTGGTTAAACTACAGAGCAAAGAGCCAGACTTCATCAAAGCCTGGAACCTCATATGTGATGTTTCACGCAATGGTATGTGTGAGAAATTCATCATTAAGAATGTCATTCTCAAACAGACAGCATGTACAACCTCAACAGACAGTATGTGCCTTTTAGAGGTTACGGATAATTTGAATTGTTCATTGCTAAAGGAAGCAGAAAATATTTTTTTCTTTTGAAAGAAATTAATACTTTTATTCAGCAAGGATGCATTTTTATTGAAAGTGACACTAAAGACATTTATAATGTTACAGAAGATTTCCATTTCAAATAAATGCGGTTCTATTCAACTTAATATTCATCAAAAAATCCTGAAAAAAAGTATCACGGTTTCCACAGAAATATTAAAAAGAAATGTTTCTTAAGCACCCAATCAGCATATTAGAATGATTTCAAAGGATCTTGTGACACTGAAGATTTGAGTAATTCAGCTTTGCCATCACAGGATTAAATTACATTTTAAAGTGTGTTATAATAGAAAACAGTTGTTTTAAGTTGTAATAATATTTCACAATATTACAGTTTTTACTGTTATTTTGATTAAATAAATGCAGCCTTGGTGAGCATAAGAGACTTATTTCAAAAACATTCTCAATCTTTTATTTTAGGTCTCAAGATTTTAGGTTTTAGATTTAAAATATAATAAAAATCTTAGTTGCATTCACGTTTTAAACAAATAGTTAAAATTTATAGTTAGTTTTTTTTTTTATCTTGATTAACATTTATTTATCACTTTATTGATTTTTATTTTGTAAAAGACTTGTACAACAACCTGCTAATTCTTAAACAATAAATGAGAATTTGCTTAAACCAGGCTTTAGTACGGTGGCCGAGAGAGCTCAACGCTCTGCAAAAGAAAAAAACACATGCAAATAGAAAAAAACACCAGCATATTAAGAAAACGTATTAAGAAAACTACTAACCATTTTAAGAAAACATCTTAAAGGGGTCATGAACGGAGAAATCAAATTTCTCTTGATCTTTTGACATGTCAATGTACTATAAAAAACATCCTGTAAGTTTCAAAAGTCAAAACTTTCTCGTTAGTTTAAAGAGCTTTTATTGAAACCAAGCTCAGAAAATGACTCTCTTTGGAATGTGCCACTTTATGATATAATAGTGTGGCTAAGCACCGCCTCTGCAGGAGGTGATCAACGCCTGCTTCTACATCACTGCCTCTTTAGCCCTGCCCACTGATACACGCTTGTAGTAGGAGAAGAGGAAATACTAGAGAGATGCAAACACAGGATTACTCCATCAACAGAACCATACAGATGACATTACAAAATTACAAGACACTGTGTAGTGTATATCTACATCGGATGTGAGCGCTGTTGCGTCATGTCGTGA